GTGGCCGCGAAATACTACTTCGTGGCCACAATTAAAAAATTTTTTTGACCATGTCATCAGAGGGGCTCCGTAGTAATCTATCGGAATGCTGCAAAAACAATTAAAAAAGTTAACATGTCTTAAAAAGAGGGTATTTTCTCTTCATTTGAGCAGGTAAAGAAGATATTCTGCTAATGGAATAAATGTTCTTAACCTCTAAATAAGATAAGTAAACATTATTCATGAAAAAATAAGTTGTGTTTTTTTTTTTTCTTATTTTACATTTTTTTGACTCCAGTAAAAAAAAAAGGCACTTGGAAAGACTGGTTAAAATTATTTTTTTATTTTTAGAGCAAGTTTTACCAGAATCGGGTCTTTAAATAAATCCCAAAACCGGATAAAAAAAAAACTTTTTGTCTAGATCCAGGATTTTTAAAATTTTACGTTTTTTTGCAGTGTCCAGTTTAGGATGAAGTTCATCGTCTAAAGTAGGTTATAAACAGAATATGAGTTTCCTATCTACTTAAAGTTGCCTCCTATCCCTAACTAAAAAAAAATTAAAAAGGCGGGAACTAATTCAAGGAGTAAATCTGTGCACTACAAAAAATTTTAATCTCAATAAGTAATTTTTTCTTAAAATAAGTGCATTTTTTCTTGTACTGAGGAGGTAAGTGAGACACTTTGCAAATGGAACAAAACAATTTACATTTAAAATAAGAAAAAAATATTTTATTGTCTTATTTCAGGTGCATATTATCTAATTATATTATTATAAAAGTAAAAAATACTAATTCTACTGGCAAATCATCTGATTTACCTGCTCAAATTAGGATTTTTTTTTACTTATTTCTAGATTGTTTTTGTAGTGTGGTGCTGTTTGGGAGCTGGAAGAACCGGTTTCTCTCAGAAGGTTTGAAATTCCCGGATGTTATTGTTGTTTTAAGTGCATCCTGACCCGTATCTGTGTTTTTTTACAGTAATCTCCTGTAAGCAATCTCTCCTGTTAGCTGTAGAGAAAATGTTGCACCTTAATGTGTCACATTTTTCCTTGCAAACACAGCTTAAATTGTAGAATACAGTTTTATAAGTGTATGTGTTGTTACTATTTATAAATTCTTCAGAAAATAACCTACTGAGGTCAATGCGCAGAGGACTGGGTGTGGAGGGTCCGGCTGTGGAGGGTCCAGCTGTGGAGGGTCCAGCTGTGGACGGTCCAGCTGTGGAGGGTCCAGCTGTGGAGGGTCCGGCTGTGGAGGGTCCAGCTGTGGAGGGTCCTGAAGGACATTCAGCCTTCTGTGCGGCTAGGGCAGATTCAGACGCGGAGTCTGCCTGTTAATAAATAAAAAACATCTTTTTAAGAT